CCGACATAGAAGACCCATCCGCAAGACTCTGCGAGACTCTGAAAAGACCCACTGCGACAGCCCTGTGACTGCCCCAGTAGAGGAGAAGCACGACAGAGAAGACACGGTCTGTTGTCTTTGATATCTATCACCCTTGACCTGTGGGAGACATCTCCCCACTACTGTGCCTAAAGAGGGGGTTTCCCCTGGTGGCCAGCTTGCCTACCAATGACTAGAAAATAATATTCAGGGGAAAAAAAACCCCAACTAAAATCAGATAAAAAAAATAAAACTCAGAAAGGCTACTACAGAGTTTGTAATAACATATTCATCTATACAAAGGTCCCTCTGCCTTGGGTTTAAATATATATAATGTTTGTATTTACGTAGACAGTTGCACAACACACGTAGGGCCTCCTGTATCTAAGACACGATTACCAATTAATGTTGCCTGTGAACCTGCAGGTATGTGTGTCGCTGACTCCTGCTCTCCGTTTATTGAAGACACACTCATTCCTGCTAGACGTTAGCAATATGTATATGTGAATTCAGTTACAATGCTAAGTGCCAACACTATGTAACTGTACACACACATGCAGAGGAGACACCTATGTGTCACCGAAACTCAGCAAACCCATATTGACCAATGGCTGGATCTCTGCCCATCTTACCTGTGTTTCCTTTTGTTGTTGTCCTTTTTTTGCTGTTGATCCTCTACCCCCACCCCCCCCCCCCCCCCAACGTCTGGGAAGTTCATCAATTCAAAGTCCATTAAAAACCCAGGAGTCACTGGTCCTCAGTGAAGGCAGTGCTCCCGGCAAGGAACAAGTCTCGGAACGCCAGTGCAATCCCACTGCAGAGCTCAGCCAGCAGTCCACATCAACACTGCCTAGAAACCTGTCTGTCTGCTTGTGCTTCCAGCCAGCCATCTATCTACCTCCTTACAGGGCACCACCCCCCATTGCCCTCACCTGGGCTCAGGTACACAGCGCTGCAGCAGCACCATGGCAGCTGTGCGTGCGTGTCTATAGCGAGACGGGAACGCACTGCGCCTCTCAGAGGAGTCACAGCTGCCCTCAGTGATCAGAGCTCCAGGTGGGAGAGCAAACCCTGCCCCCCACTCTCTCCACACACACACCTTCCCAAAATAACCGTCTCGCCCTTGGGTGGTATCAGGAGGAGGCGGAGGAGGGGGGGTCCTTGGATTAACCAAGGAATGCGCTCAACATCTGACAAAAAAACAACAAAATGCTGAGTCGAACGACAATGGTGAAGGTGGGTTTGTGCTGCTGCAGGTCAGATTTGGAACTTGTCAGAGTGTAAAGGAAGACAGTCCCCTCCTGCGCTCTCCAGCTCTGTGCCATGTCATGCCCCGCTGGCTTCCACAGGAGCACCAGGAGCAGACAGCTGATCCGTACACACCAGCTCCGGAATCCGGTCCTTTCCAACAGACGCTCTGTCTGCATCCCCGAAAAATCAACGCAGTTTGGGGCCCAGAGGACGGGAGGGGGGGGGGGCTGGGAATAGCCAGTTGAATTGGAATTCCTCCTTTTCCCCACTCTCCGTCTCTTGCCAACAGGTTAGACAAGATCAATGGATTTGCTCGGGGGGAAAAAAGAACACAGAATTCCACAAAGAGTTTGGGACCAAGCAGGACAATGAGAGGAGTCTTCAATTCTTCAATGCTACAGACCGGAGTCGGCAGTACTGCTCCACTGAGCTGACAGCCCCCCCTTATCCTCCGAAGCACCAACTCTCTCTGGAACATTACCCACTCTCCTGCCCCCCCAATAAGACAGCCAACAAGATTAGTAGAAAGAAAAAGACCACCCCCAGCCACAAAAACACATCCATCATTCCTGCAAGAGGTCTGACCCCTAAAGGTCGAAAGACGTACCTAGAATCATCCCGCCACTCTCTCTGCTGGCCCCTCAAATACGCGTGGGTCCGAGAACGGAGGAAGCCGTCTTGCTCTCTCCCTCGCTCCCCTTCAACCTGCCTCTCCCTGCTGGCGCGGCTCTTGTCCCGGTCACAGGAAAACCCCAAACAAACAGGGGGTTCAACGCCCGGTGTCTTCGGCAGCCCCCTCTCCGTCGTTCCCGCCGCCGGCCGCTCCAGGAGACGGGTGCACAGCTGTGCTCACCCCTGGTTTTGGTCAAAATTGAAGGTGTTGCTCCGGAGCCCTGTCTAGTTTGTAGTTGTGTCAGAAGGAAAGTGTTGCGAATGTTTTGGGCTTGGCAGACGGGTGTTATTTTTGCGGGGATGGGGGGCAGGCGGAGGGGGTGCAGGGGGGGGGCAGAAAGCGCGCCGTCAATGGAGCAGATTGTCCGTGCCAATAACACCCCCACAGAAAAAAGACTCAAGCGTGCGCGCACACACAGAAAAAAACTGGAAGAAACCAAGAAAAAAAACCTGCACGCGAGGACAAACGCGCTCCGGAGAGATCTCACCAGGATGGCTTGCTCCAGCTCAGTCACACTCTCGGACTGGAGCCTGCTCACTGAACGCTAGCTAGCTTGCCTGGCTCCCTCGCTCTCCCTCGCTCTCCCTCGCTCTCTCTTGCGCGCTCTCTCTCTCTCTGCTCCTTGTTTTTTTGGGTTGGGTATAACCTAAAGGCACCTTACATGCCTCAGCCCTGATTGGTGAAAGCCTCAGCCAGGGCCAGCCAATCAGGAGACAGAGTGCCCCCTGTCATCCCTGCAGAGTTTTAATGTCATCGAGCAGACAGCGTTGCTCCACTGCCACTCTTCCACCACTCTGTCCCTCTCCTCCTCTCTCCCCCTCCTTGTCTTCTTCCTCCTTTCCTGCGTCAAGCCCCAAGCCTGCCTGTCCACCTGTTTGTTCATTCCCACCTTTCAGTCTTCCCCTCTCCCATCCCACCGGGTCTCCTCGATTTTATCCTCCAGGAAAGTGCTTTTTCCAGCTTCGACCTCTTCCTCCTCCTGACTCTTTTGCACAGGCGGGCAGGGGGCTGAGGTCTTTTTGGGGCACCCTGTGCCTTTTTTGTTTTCAGAGAAAGCTGATTTTAAGGAGAAAAGAGAAGATGTGGACTGGAAACTGGACGGAGGGAGAACGGGGAGGAACAGACGAGCAGGAGTTGGGGGCGGAGGGTTAGATGGGGAGGGGGATGAGAGCTGACCAGTGAAGAGAGATGGAATAATCGTGGGGGGGGAGGGGGAGATGGAAAGGCTGGTGAGAGCGAGAGAGAATGAAAAAGAGGGAGAGGGAAGCTGGGTTCTTTGGTGCTGAAATCCTCCAGATGTCCAGACAAAAACAAAACAAAAAGCAACATCTGTATATCTTTTATAGTAACAATTGCGAACTGTGAAGGGCCCCTCTGTTTGCGCCCTGTAAAAAGACAAATGCCAATGATCGCTCCGGGCCGGGGGCTGTGGGGTACGCGTGGAAGAGTCTGTGCTCAGAGAAGGATGGACTGCTGGGGGCTTGGGGCGTGGGGGGGGGGGCTATTATTTTTGGGCCCAGTCATTGAGGCGGCTCTCTTGTGAGGTCTGCAGGACCCTTTCAGGGCCGAGGCTGAGGGCCGAAGGAATTGAAGAGAAAGGAAAAGCTTAACAAAGCTGTCAGAAGATTAATCCTCTGTGCAGGAGAGAGATTGTACAAATGGGCACGCACACACACACACACCAGCCTGGGGGTGTGAAAAAATGCCCAAGTTCTGTTTCTCTCTCTCCTTTGCTTACCTCTCTAATCCCCCCCTCCCTCCCTCCCCCCGCCCCTGGCCCGCGCAGTGTGAGTCAGTGGGTAGTGGAGAGAATACTAAGAAGGCTGTTGGCTGACACTGAGAATCGCTCACTGCGCGGCAACAACTGCACGCTCGGCACACACACAATTCCACACACACACTGATCAGAACCGACACACACACACGCAAGCACACAGTGACGTTCACATGGACTGGCACACTGGATCACACTCACATGCCCTACATACATACACACTGCCATGCACGCTCACACAGAGGCACACAGACGCGCGCTCCAATCTGTATTCCTGTCTTTCAGGGACTTCCTACAGACACGCATTTTGTTTTTCTTTTCGATTCTGAACTCCACCAAAACGAAAATAAAACCCACAATCGGGGGGGGGTGGGGGGGGTTGAAAGCAGACCTAAACAATCTTGGCACTTTCACATTTAAAAGAAGATAGGTTTTGAAAAAAAAAACAGACCTGTCAGAAGTTACTCCATCTATGGAGATAGTCTCTCGTCCCCACACTGATAGCCCACTGACCCACAATCTTACACCCTGACAAACACAGGGTGGCAGGCGCTGTCAAATCCTGACACGCAAGCATGGCGCCGACGCAGACACACTGAGCTCTGAGGGGGGTACACACGGGACAGCACCTTGTCCTGTCACTTTTCAGGTTGTTCTTTCGACAACTGGATCGATACGCAGTCTCGATTGCTTCAGAGATGCAGCATGAGGATTCATCTTTCAGCTAAATGCGTGAAGGATGGGGACTCAGTCCAGGTCTTTAGCCGCTGTCCTGCTGACATGCTGTCCCCACACCACTTCCCCTCCTGCAGTCCAGGCTCATCAGGTCAGAGCGGGAGGGAGGAAGTGGTGGTATGGGGAGTACATTACTGTGACACTAGGTTGGCACCTGAACTAACGTGAAGAACTCTCTCTCCCTTCATTCCTCCACACCCCGCTTTCTTCCCCTTCCTGTCTCCATCATTCTTCTGCATCTGTCTTCTCATTCTCTCTCTCCCTTTCTCGACAGCCCCCCTCACTCCGCCTTCACTTTTTTGGAATGTGACCCTTTGCAGTATGCACTGCAGGACCGCGGAAGATCGGCTTTCCTCATTAGCAGTGGGGCTCGTTAATAATTCAGCGCAGGGCCGTGTCGCGCTCAATGGCCCGGCTGCTAATGTGCTGTTCTTGGCTTCAGGAGCCGCCAGTGATCAGGACTCTAATGGATGTCATGATGAGAGCGTGAAATAGGAGGAGAGGGATCCACTGTCACCACAGCCTTCCCCCAAATACAGAACAGAGGGAGGAGAGAGAGATGGGGGGCAGAGAAAGAGGGGAGAGATAGTGATGGGGTGATAGAGAAATGGGGGTTAGAGAGTATCAGTGGGGAGGAGAACAGAGTGATGAAGCCAGTTATAGATGTGGATTATTAGGAGTCCATGATTGGTGGAGGCCAGAAGGAACTTTTTTCAGGACGCCGGGGTTACACCCCTACTCTTTTCAAGAAACGCTCTGGGATTTCTAATGACCACAGAGAGTCAGGGTTGGGTTTTATGTCTCACCTAAAGTACGCTGCCTTTTTTATAATATAGTTTCCCTGTGCAAGCCACAATGAAAGCACGCCCTGGTCTTCCTCAACTTTCCCAGGAGCTCTCCCATCCAGGTACTGGGCAGGCTCACACCTGCTGCGCTTCAGTGGGCTGCCAATTGTGAGCTGTAGGGTGATATAGCTACTGGCATGAATCCATGACAAATCCATCCTCTCTCACTACTCCCTGGTAGGTGAGGTCTCAATTAAACCCAGGTCAACCAGCTCTGCCAGAGCTAGCAGCCATTATGATTAGGCCCTGGTTGCCTGTCGTCACAGTCATAACCCATCATCTCAGGGGTGCATGAGGGATAAGTGCAGGAGCCCCTGGAGCTGCAGAACAGAGCTCAACTCTGCCATGGCGAGAGCACCAAGTCACCCAAGTGGCTGCTTGCTCTTGTGGGTATTTACTGTGGTCTGCCAGGGTCAAGAGTGGAGTAACTGGGAGGGGAGAGGTAGGAGGAGACAGCCAGAGCTGGAATGCCAAAGAGATATCTGGAGAGATTAGGGGGGTGGGAGAGAAAGAGACAGATAGGTAAAGAGGAGAAAAATAAGAAAATATTGTTTGGCATTTTTTCATACCCAGGCTGGTGCATCTGTGTCTGAGAGAGTGCCTCCTACTGGTCCACCACCACACTGCACCACCATGGTCCACAGAGGTCTCCCACCCCACCCAGCACTAACCGGGCTCAGCCATGGTGAGCTCTGAACCGACTCAACTGAAGGGATGTGTAGTTGTAATAACCTTATTATCTCCAGTGTAGGACCCCTTTTTTTCTGTTCTGCATATCACACCTCAGTGTGCGGAGTGCAAACAGCCAACAGCTTAAGACACGTACAGTACAGCCTCTCTCGCAGGAGTTAATGAGCCAGCGATTGATTAGAGGGCAACGATTAGGAGAGAAGAGTGAAATTAATTAAGCCAGATCTCCCCTCTCTCATCCTGGGAAAGAGAAACAGCCAGACTGGGAAAGGAAAGAGAAATCAAACAAGGACATATAAACACAATATGACATGAACCAGGCAGCGCGGTACTGCAGTATTATGCACTGCACAGTTCATAGTCTTCACATATGTCCCACACCATACCTCACCGTATTATTCCAACCCTTATGTAATTTAACCATCACATACTGCGCTGTCCTATCCTATCTTATACTCTACACTCCCCCACTGCACTGCTGTATGTTGACCCACACTATCTCACTCTGTATTATTCTGTGCTGCATTGTCAATATACTAATGCTACTCTTCCACCCTACTCTGTCCTGTGCGGTACGGCGCTCTCTGTGCCTCAGCTTCGCTGCCCTGCTCTGCACTGTGGCACGCGAGAGACCAGGAGCAAGGGGCATGCTGACGGGGAGGGCTCGTGAAAGCGGTCCTGGTAAACGCTCCTCCTGGGCCAGGGTAACAGAGCCCCCCCACTGCCGCCACCCCCCCTTCGCCTGCCCGCCTCCCAGGCCCATGAACCCTTTCACCCACACACCTCCTTCCTCTCTACCCAAATTCTTTCCGCATCAGCGACTGGTCCAATCCTTGCCCGGCACCAGCCCGGAGGATTTGCAGCCGCCTGTCACTTCTCATCATGGAAACAAGCTTTTTCGCTCTCTCTCTCCCCGACTCCCACACTCAGTCTCCTCTTCGGTCTTTCCCCCATGCTTTCCCTCTCTCTCCTCCTCTCCTCTTGCATTCCCTGCACCCACACTCAGTGCGTCACACTGGCCGGTCTGTGTGTGTCAGAGCCTTGCTTCCGTCTGTCCGTCTGTGCGTCGTACATCACGAGGACCTCTCCTCCCCTCCCCTGCCCTGTCAGGTCCAGTCCAGTTCAGCGCAGGGTTCTCATCGCGAGACATTGGTCGGCGAAGACACTGCAGGGACTGTGAGTCAATGGGGACACTGAGAACACGGCACATGCACAGTCACACTCTCTCTCTCCCCCCTGGTCGAGCTCTCCCTGTCTGCACCCCCCTTCCGTGTCAGCGGGGTTGATTCTACCCCTCAGGCCTCTCCCGAGTCTCTGTGCTGCCTGCTCCCCTTCCCCTTCTCCTCTCTCCCTCTCTCATGCTCCCAGTTGCAGGTCAGCCATGCTAGGGTCATCGCCGGCCAAATTCGCTTATCGCTCTCAGGAATCGATCAATCGATCCATAAAAACCGCTTCAGAGAGCGAGAAAGCCTCTCTCCCGCCTGCCACGGGACGCCGTGTGGCTGGCGCAGGGGCAAGCTCCCAGTCCTGTTAGTGTCATCCGTACTGGTTGGGGGGGGGGCTCTCGAGGACATGGCTCAGCTCAGGGGGGGCCAGCATTGTAGAAAACCACCATCTAAACCTTTACAGCTCAGGAGCCTGTACCCCTGTGCCTGGGAAGCACCTGGAAAGTCACAGTCCCGTAGCTTCTAGAGGAGTTCCAAACGCTCGGTGACCTGGACATCACCTGCTCTTGTTCAAATCATTGGAAAAGAACTCGTTACCCACAGCACTCCCAGACCTGGGATATAGCCACCAGCCTCCAGCACAAGCCAGCACCCTGCGCCATGTTGAAGGGCCAAGGTATGGCAGGGACTGCCCTGTTTGAGACTTCTCCTGTTTGCACTTGGTACCGCCTGTTTGCACCGAAGATGTGTTATCTCTGCGTATCAGCATCTACTTTTATAATTGATACACAGAACCCTGCTAGAGTGTCCTTCCAGACCGGCAAAGGTTCAAGTGAGGAGCTCCCTCAGCATGCGTTGGCGTGTGTGCATATGTGGGCAAAGGTGCAGGCAGGGGTTCCACAATGAAAGGTAGAAAGAAAACACAATGTTTGAAGTATTCTCCATGTATGGGAGTCGCCTTACCTGACTAACAGCCAAAACACTGCATTTCCTTTTTCTTTCTGCTTTTCAGGGTGGAATTAACCTTCACTTGCACCCAAACCAAATGTAACAGAGCAACAGTGTGCAGCACAGTGGTGCCAAAGACTCTGTTGAGTGTGCTGCCCTCTCGTGGTGGACCTGTGCAATGTCACAACACCAAAACCCTGAACTCCTGAACTTTCCTGCAGGAGAATTTTTCTAAACTTTGCTCCCTTCTGATAAATATTTATATAAAAACTGTCAAAAATTGAAGCTATTATTTCCAGTGCTCTGCTCCACTCTCTCTGTGTCACTGTCCTTCCCTTTGCAAATCTTCTCTCTCGCGTTCCTCTCCCTGTCTCACTGTTCTGTTCCCTCTCACATCCCAGTGATGAATTTAGAGGCAGTCGAGAGAGAGGGGTCAGAGATCAGGGGGCCTGAAAGGCATCTTTCTAGGTCTGAGTACTGGATACAGACTGTGATGTCTGGTACAGGGGCTCCAACATTATCACAGCAGTGCTGGAAAAATCATCTGTCCAAACCATATAGACCCATTCTGTGTCAACTCAGCCAGGGCAAGATTCCCACTCTGCTCGCACTGTGGGTGCCACAACTCCCACAGGTCAAACCAAAACTTTCAACCGAATGATGGAGATTTACCGAGATGTACCCCTCTAGGGGAGTGAAAGGTGTCTCAGAATACTTTGAATGTCAGTATCCCTTTGGATTCTCCTGTACAGAAAGCCAGGTAGATCTACTGCAGGATTTGTTCGGTTTAGGTTTAGTCCTGGTCTGAGCTCAAAGTGTTTGTGAATACTGTAACAATTTAACCACTTAACAACATGTCAAGCATGTGCTGTATATTAATTAAACATAAACAGAAGAGAAACCGAGAGAAGAAGAAGAGAAAGACACAGCTATCCAAGCCAGCTGCTTTACTAGTCCTTGTTAACCCGAGCCCCACAAGGGGACTGAGCCATTCGAAGATGGGGGTCAATGGAGGTCATGTTCCATAAACTCATGCTGGAGCCTTGTCATGGGCTTATAAAGTCAGTACAATAACCAGACAGGTGCAAAGCTGTGCCTAGGAGAGTCAGGTCAATTATGAGTGCATCCCCAGGAAAATGAAAGTAATATCTCTTCTACTTTAGATGGAATGAGCAGTACTGAACTAGTGGACAATTTTTCAATGTTAATGCCCCTAGCTGCAGAGACATATTATATGGATGGCCTTCATATTGCACGGCTTCTACCGAAGACCGATCCATACCAGCAGGAGTGAATGAAGATGCGTTCACCAGGCCACGGAGACGCACTCCAGGAACTCCACCAGGAGAATTTACAATATACCAGGGAGATCTTATTTGAACTGTAAAACTGAAGGCAACAACATCATCTCGGAATCGCACTTAAAGGTTATGATCACTTAATACAGATCACACTTCAATCCAAACACCTTCTTCAGAAAATAAAACAAGAAATAAAAATACACCTCCCTCTGCCCTTCTGAGCTGGGAACAGCGATCACCATAAAGAGCGAAGTGAGGCGTTTGCGTTCACGTGCCTCTTTCATCAGCACGTCCTGAGCCGAGCCAGACACCAACCTGGATGGGCTGGGACAGGACCAACACTTTCTTCAGTACAAGAAACCCATAATGCAAAAACAGTTACAAAACTAAAACAACGAGGTTCTTCATCACGCTCTGCAAGAAACAAACAAAAGCAACACAAAAATCGTGAGCAGGACTGAGTTCTGGGGCACCCAGAAGTCATGCTGATGTGTCGGTTTGCCAACTGCTGGTCTCAGTGCTTGGGCCTCAGGAGAAGGGGTGTCCCTTACGAGCATGTGCAAGAGAGGGGCCGTATTGAATGACTCCGTTCCTCTGCAGTTGTGTAAGATCAGGGGTGCGTGTGGCAGAAAGAGAGAGAGGTCTGGGGTAATGGAGTTCACACGTGCGTGCGACTGTGTTCTGCAAAGAGTGTGTGTGTGCTGGACTCCGGGACTCAGCCCCTGTGAGCGGATGAAAGAGAGAGTGTGAGGTAAGGGAGAGAGTGGGTGTGTGTAGAATGTCTCTGTTGACTGTCACTCTCTCACACCTCCCTGCCATCTTCACACTCCCGGTTCAGAACACACAGGGCCGCCCCACCCTCTCTTCTGTCCCCCTTTGAGGCAGGCAGGTAACCAATAACACCCCATAACGGAGGAGGATATTTACAGCATTATTACTCAAATACATATATAAATAAACTCACTTAGGCAATGAAAATCCTATACTTTACAAAAGACACAGTGTTTAAACCAGCTTTTAGAAGGACTATGGCATTAACAACTGCTGCTGCAGAGACTCTGACAGCAGGACCTCCGCTTACAGGGAGGGTCAGTAATTCTCTCAGGGAGCCAGTGGCAGAGCTCTGGACTTGAACCAGGAACCTCTTGGTGACATATCCTGCACTTTCACCGCTCACATTCTCAGCCTCTGTCTGCTGGACATTTCGAAACAAGTGCTCTTGAAGAATCAATGACAAACTAGCCCACTGGCAGCCTAGGAAGAGATGGGCTAGTTGATATCCTCTCCTAGCTGAGACTCCATCTCTCCCACAGGCGACGCACAGACATGGAAGGAGAGGGACTGTCTTACCTGTGTTCCACATCCAGGACTCCCTCTCTCTTCCTGGTCAGCGTGTCTGTTCCACGTCACTCAGTTCTCTTATCCAAGCGCGTCCCAACTCTGTATTCCAGAATTATTTCCCTGCTTTCACCCTCCCCACACCAGAACAGAAAGACAACCAGAAGGAAAAATGCCCAGTTTCTTAAAAAAAGGAGGAAAAAATGTTTTCAAGTTCAAATCCCCTCCAGTACCAAAAAGTGAATCCCGTCCACCCGGTAATTTTAATACATATTTATCTGTGAAACCACAGCCGTTCCCTAGAGAGATCCGAAGCCACGCACGTGGGACGCGGAGAGAAGCTCAACTTCTTCATTCCGTTTTATTTCTCATTTTCCCTCCTGCGAGGAGCCGAACAAGTGCAGAGATTCCGAAAGCTAATTCTACTTCCCCAGGGCAGGGAACTTAATAACCAAGAACAACTGTCGCAAGGGAGAGAGGGGAGGAGGGAGAGGGGGGGAGGGAGAGGGTTAAGCGTTAATGAGAAGGGGCGAGAGCAAGCGAGAGAGAGAGGGGGGAATATTCATTTCTGCACATGTACATGAAGCCCACGTAGTCGTACAAATGCACCTTCACAGTCCAGGTCTCAGAAATGAGCTGATTTGGTAGAATGTTTTGGCTACCGCTAACTGGGGTAAACAAGCGCTCGCCACACTCGGAGAGCTTACATTACGCAATCAGGAGTTCAACACTACGACTGTACTGAGTGAATCAGTCAGTGAAGCTGGAGAATATGCAACTATCTGCACGTGTTAGTAGAAATATGTAGAAATATGGCTGCTATTTTCCTGTCTGACATCTTTCTTTCTGATTTCAATTCCCGGCAGGACTGTAAGATTTTGCGTCTGCCGCTGTCGCACCCCGCAGAGGAGAAGGGCGAATTGCGGACTAAAGCCAGTGGCACATGTGCAAGACAGCAGCGTGCCCAGCAGAGGCCACGGGCAGGACAGGAGGGCACAGGCCCGGCTGACGGGTACCCCATGCGGTTCCTCAGCCAAGCTAAAGGCAGGGAGGCCGGAATCAGGACCTGTCCTGTCCTGTCCGAGGGAGGCAGGGAGTCCAAGAAGGGATGACTAGACCAGGAAACTTGGAGGAGTGGGGGGGACAGAGACAGGGAGTGAATGAGAGAGAGAGGGTGTGTGGCTGGGCAGGAGGGAGGGGGGGGAGGAGTGCAGTTTTGGAGCAGTAAGCACTTTTCCCCCGTCCCGGGACAGCAGGGTAGGGTTACAAGACAGCTCTGCTGGCACTGGGATTCTCTCACATAAACAAGGGCTGTAAAGTTCGCACTGCCAGCCTATAAAGACATCACCATTGCTGGGGCGCTCTCACCACCCCTTCCCCTCCCTCAAAGCCTTCTCTCTCCCTCCTTCCGTCTTTCACTTCTTTCTGCTCCCCTCTTTTTCTCTCTTTCCTGGCTGCATTACTCCCTCTTTCCCCCTCTCTCTCGCCATCAGGAACCGAAGATCCTCAGGGAAACCAGCCATGAAAAACGGACAGAGGTCACAAGCGGACACGACAGGAAAGTGTCTCTGGACTTGACAAGATGAGGCACGTTTTTACCCAAAGGGTGGTAGGAGCCTGGAACAGGCCATGACGCCACATTGCTGAAGGTAATACTCTGGTATCATTCTAGACAGGGCTGGCTGAGATTCCCATATCATTCCACTCCTCATTACCGAGCAGGCTAGCTGGGCCAAACGGACCACCTCAAGGTTTCTGACCCGACTGTCTAGAAAGGTGAGTTTATCTGCTAGTCCTGGACAGCCACCTGAAACTCTGTTTCCACCGGAAATCCTGCTGGTGCTCACAGTGGATTCGGCCATGTGATCTGGGGATCCTCACAGACTCTTGGGACTCCCCAGAAATAGCCTGTCCTGAATCCCCACTCATGCACCATCACTTGCAAGATGGTGCGAGAGTTGAGATGCTGATTTGGTAACATGCATGGTGATACTAGCCTTTAATATTTTAGAATTTGTACCAGAATAATATTCCTTAAGATTGTGTTTACACTGGGAGCCATAAGTGAACAGGAATCTGCCAGCAGGCAGCACTTGTTAGAGTGCAATGGTTAAGGTTCCCGACTCACAGCTCTTGGGTTCTGGTCCTGATTCAGGCCTGTGATGCCTTCTGTGTGGAGCTGTCATGTTTCCCCTGTGAACATACTGGATTTCTCCAGGTGCTCCAGTTTCCTCCTGCAGTCCAAAAACACGGGGTCAAGATTAACCTCTAAAATATTCCCTAAACCCTGAATGTGTATCTTTCAGACAAGCAACCCATCCAGCATGTATTGCAGACTTTATAATATTGGTATTACTCGCAGCTATTTCCCCCACTAAAGACTCAGTTACGAAACGTGCAGGCTGTGGCTCTTCAGGTTATAGCGGGGTGCTATGCTCCGGGGTGAACACGAGCACGGTAACACGGAAGAGCCAAGCCTGGTCTGCGGCGCCCTCTCGCGGTAGGAAAGCAGAAGCGCAACACCATGTTCACGAGAAAGCGGAACATTTTTCCCGAGACCAAAGAGTATTTCTGTCTTTTAGTTTGTTTTTACTCATTTCCTAAAAAGTGTAATGAGACATAATTCACACAAATACTTCATGATAATACAGCAGCAAGAGCTTGCGCTATCTGATGTCTAATATTTAAAACGATTGTTTTCATCTTAAAAACTTGTTTTTAAATTTTTAGAAAAACGCACTGCAAACGGCGTTAACACTACAGTATGTGAGCGATGGCAGTGTGTGAATCCGTCTAGTAATAAGGCGAGGCGGTGACATTAGCGCTTAATAACGAGCTCTCCCGAACACGCGCGGTCGATCTTCCAATGGGTTGGTCGGTTCAGCCAGCTGCTGAAGTTCCTGGAGTAAAGGCCTGTAATGGCTGGGCAGACTACCCGTGCGCTAGAGCCCAAGAGGGGCTATCCGAGGCTACGACCGGTACCGTCCGTTTTTACACGACATTAAATCAACCGCCCAGCCCTGGCGCCAGAGGTGTGGGTCGGAGCTCATTTCACGGCTTTAAAAACCGAATACGACGGACTCAGCCGGTTAAGCGCGCATGAATGGATACTCCCAGGGCGTTGACGAATATTATAAAAGCAAAAAAAAACTGGAGATACTGGAAAAAGTAGAAAGAGATCAATTAGAAACATCTCCGGTCTCACTTCTCGGAGATTCACAAATGCGACCAGGTGCTGCTGATCATCACACCATAATGATCAGCCGGAGAGGTCGGAGAATTAATCACTCGTGGGGCTGCGATCTTTAAATAGACTTGCACAGGTGACCTTTCACTGCGCACATAGAGAGCTGTACGGGTGCCTTTTATTTACGTCTTTGTCAAGTTAATTCTTGTGAACGAGGATTTTTTTTTTTATCGGCAGGGATGTCTGAGGTGCCTTCTCGGTCCTCCGACAAACTGCTCGACTACGGCCGGATGTACCGCCTGGAGCGCAGGCTCGAGACCTTCAAAGACTGGCCCTTCCTGGAGGACTGCAAGTGCACGCCGGAGCGGGTGAGCGGTCCGTCCTGTCAGCTGCTCTCGCTACGTTGGTGGGCATTTCGATTACCAGAAATCAATGGCGTAACCCAGCTGACTGCAGTCCTGCTTCTGGAGGGCTGGTGTGTCAGGGTCCCAGACTACCGGTTCTCATTCCAGCTTAGGTATAATGCTCCAGTGCGAACTGGCGACTAAGTCATTGCCCTTCTTGCTGGTTTAGTGTCTTAGGACTGTTTCAACTCGTTTCTTCAATAAGTGTCATTAATACCCCACTTCAAGAGTACTGCTTCTACAACATCATCTGGCCTCCACCCTGCTGGCTGGTATTTCTGCTCCAACACCTCTTATTAGTTGGAGTGGCATTATCGGAATGCGTCTTGTGTGATCTATTAGTTGAGCATGTCACCTGCCTAAGTACCCCCTCCTCTTCCTCCTCCAGTCCCTGACAAGCCTCTCTCTCCCTCTCAGATGGCGCTGGCTGGGTTTGTCCACTGTCCCAGCGAGAGTGAGCCAGACGTGGCCTGTTGCTTCTTCTGCCTGAAGGAGCTGGAGGGCTGGGAGCCTGATGATGACCCCTGGTACGGCCCCTGACCCCCCTGTGCCACACTCTCCTCCCCCCGTCCTGTCTGCTCCCATCACAACACACTCAAACTGTCCCCCGACCTGACACCAGAGTCAGTCGCATTACTATACAGGCAACCTGAGTGTCCCCCCCTCTCTCCCAAGGTATGAGCACGCTAAACGCTCTCCTCACTGTGGCTTCCTGAACATGAAGAAGGACTTTGACACCCTGCTGGCCACCGAGTTCTTCAAACTGGAGCAGCAGCGCCTGTGCATCTACATTGTGAGCCCTGCCCCTCTCTCCTCCCTCCTCCCTGATTTAAAACTAACAGATTACACGGCATCCTGTGAAACCTGCTGACCACATGGCAGGGGAAGAGGGGTGATCTACGTGGGGGGGGTGTAGAGACAATGTCTAAGAAATTAGTTTATGAAGTCTTGGAAAGCTCAACTGCAGAGAAGTTTGATGCCTTTGTTTTCCCCTCCTCCTCCCCTGTATCCTCCAGAGAAAAATAGGTGGACAAAAGATTGCCCAGTTCCGGGAGGAGGTGGAGCAGACCCGCAGGAACCTGCAGACCCTGTTCAGTATTGCCCAGTACAAGGACCACAGCCAGCCTTCTCCCCCCTAAAGCCAGAACTGAGCATGGCATCTTCCATCTAGAGTCTACGGAAGACATAAGATTTTATGCCTCTTTATGCAACAGTTGTTACTTTTAGCATCCCAATAAATGTTATTAACTGCAGTCGTGTGACTTTGGATGTGTTGCTGCTGGTAAACCAGCATGTTCCTAGGAGTGGGATTGGTGATCCTGCTTGTACCTCAGTGCCTGTATCCAAACTGGCTGCTATTCTGTACACAGTTTATTGTGCTGATGCATTTCTCACAGCGCAACTCAAAAATCCCTTTTCTTTACGCCCAAATCTCAGTGCTCATGTCTACAGCTGTGTGTGTGTGTGTTGGGACGATCTGGGTGAGGCCTCTCCCGTGAGGGGACAGCTGAGGTGTCCTCCATTCCCCTTGTCCACTTCTTGCAAATTTTTTCCTCCATGTTCAACAGAGCATCCCAAGTCCCATAGAGATATTGAAAATTATGCTCAAGCTGAAAACCATTAATGCAGAAACTGTATGCCATTATGCTTTTCCAGACCTGAACAGGGGTTTACATTGGGGTGGAGTAAAAACTTCACCCAAGTGAACTGATCTGCTCCCTAGTGATAATTTGTTGTAAACAGTAGCTGTGAGTTAGGTTTTATTCTTTTTAGATCTTTAATTGCTTTAATAAGCTAATGTAGCTTTGGGTGTATCACAGTCATTAGCACTGCTGCCTCACAACTCTTGAGTCCAGTGTGTAAGTCTGCCATAAGTCTCCTTCTGTGTGGAGTCTGCATGGTGCCATGAGGTTGGTGTGGGCTTTCTCCCACATTCCAATACTATGCTGGCTAGTGTAAAAGCAGTCTCTGAATTCTCGCACACTGCTGCTTACCGTGAGCCTCCCAGGCATAAAAGTTTTTCTGGTTCAGCCAACTATCCTGTTTATACTACTTCATGTCACAGTGTCTTGGTATCATGCGGCCTCTCTGCTCCTAGATTACCCAGTCCAGCACCAGGCACTGGCTGCTGGTTTTCATTATAACTGAACTCTTGCTTAGTTGTTTCCCCAGATTAAACCATTACTCAACTGAACTTTTTGTATTCAGGTCTGCAACTGTAAAGGCTAAGAAATCCAGCTGGAAATGTTGCAGATTGTTGCAGAAGACCTGACATGTTGCCCTGTGAGTCCATATGAGCAGGTGAGAGTGCAGCAGGAGTGGAAAGGAGCAGGCCCTGGGGAAGTCCTGCCTTCCCCTCTGCTTGTGTCCACCGCTCCAGCAATGCTCTGGCCTTGCTCCCCCTCGAGCTGATCCAGCCTCCCTCAACGCCATCAGGGCAGCTCGGTCTCTGCACCTCCTCACCCCCCACCCTCGGCTGTGCCCTCTCCCGTGCTCCTCCCACACACCCACTTGTCACTCGTGTGGCAACTGACAGGGTCTTCGCCTGATTGGAGAGTCGGGGTCTCTCTCGCTGGCGTCATTGCTGGCGCCATTTACCAGATAGCTGAGAGAGCCCCGGGCGCCCAACCCAAGGTGCACCCCGCTGGATCCCTGCCAGCTACACACCACCACTGCCCTCCCAATTGGAGTCGGCTAGGGACGCAGATTCCAGGCTCGCACTGGGGAATGGAGTCGAGAATGGATTCTAGCTGGGAAGTTCCAAGAGCTATCCCCATGAAGCTATATCAGTCTTTTACAGCTCACAAAAGCAAGTCTCTTTGGATGAAGGCATTGGAAAGGCAGTAGTAGAAGCTAGGAGCGATCTGTGCGATTTTAACTTGAGCCATTCTTGAGTCACTTACCAGAACGAACCACAAGATGCCGCTATAGGGTCACTTTCACTCCCCTTTGCTACAGAAAGAGACAAATTCCTGTCAAATTCAGGTTTAAAATCCATCTTGAGTTGACTGTAATTCAACTAAAATCCTAGCTTTCTATAGTTCCAACTAAATTACAAAAAATACATTACTCGTGGCACAAATAATACATTTCCACGCCACCCATAACATTTAGCATTTTTTGTTGTTTTTTCAGTTAAAGTAACAACAAGTAGGGTTTGATTTATAATGAGAGATGCTGGAGTAGGGGAACTGAAATGGAGTTATTTTTCCTGGAATAAGAATTCCAGAGAGAGTTCTGTCTCTCTCCCAGTAATACAGTAAATGTGGCTACAGAAACGCAATGTGAATTTTTACTACATTAATGTCTTATTTAAAAAATGCCAATCCACCCTGCCAGCCCCCCGCTCCCTCCCCAAATAAACCCGTTTCCCCCTGAAACAGAAGTTGACATTGGACACCCGACACACACACTCCTTGTCACCTCTGACCCTGAACAGATGGCAGGGAAGCCACACCCCTTTTCCACCACCAACTGTTGCCGTAGTAACATCTGTCGTGCATGTGTGCACTTAACAGGGCTCGCTGAGAAAGAGGGAGGGAAGGCGAGGGGGAAAAGGCGAGACAGGCAGAGACAGAGGGGATGGAAAGGTAAGAAAAAAAGGGTAAATGAAGGGGTGACGGAAAAGGAAAATGAAAGACTTGTAAAAAGATGGTGGTATATAGAAGGACGATGTGCAAGATGGGGGAAAAACATGGAAGAGGGAGAGAGAGTTGTCTGAACTTGTTAGTCAGAACAGGCAGCTCTGGATTCTTGAGTGCGGGGGGTACAGGAATCGACGATGGACAGGGTGCAGGGCCACAGGTCTTGGTGCAAGGTCTCAGGAGGCTGTACAACAAGCTTTACTCCCCATACGAACAGGGTTCATGATTTAAAAATAACAGCTACCAAAATCACGATGAATTTTCACTCAATAGTGAGGGAATGACACACAGGAGAGCAAGCCCGAGTTATGCTGTTTGTGAGCTGAGGTTTACTAATAGGGATAGGGTTCTGGGGGAGTATTTGACTGAAGGCCAAGGTCAGGTTTGCACAATACTGTTAGAGCACAGTTGAAGCACGTTAAGTGTTTCAGGGGTCCATCATACAGTACCATTACTAAGTCAGAATCCAGCAGCAGTCAGTAGACCTTCTTCCCACAGACTGAGGCCTGTTACAGTCAGGACTGAGCTCTGAAAGGAATCCCACACATGTGGGATAAAGGCCACGCGGACAGACAGGCAGATGGACAGAGGGATAGCAGTGGAATCTCTGTCATGGTTGGCCAAAGAAATATCGTTGATCCAAACCACCAGATCTTGAGAGCCTGTGTGTGAGTGTTTTAATGATCGTTGTCTCGGTGAAAGAGTCTGATTGGGTTGGGGGGAGGAGCAGGAGAGGTGGTGGTGGGGATTAGTAAAATGGCTTGTAGCCAAACCTCCCCCCCCAATGCCCCACAGCACCACCGGCTCTGGCTCGGAGGGATTAGTGTCTAATGCAAGGCTTTGGACACTGAGCTCCGATCAAACCGTTAATTCTTCTTGATCCCTGCAGGACCACAGCAAATAAAAATAAAAAAACAGGGAGTGATGCAAAGCCTCTTGAAAGATGGCCGACGGGTGGGTGGGTCGTAGAGAGCGTCACTCGGGCCGACGGTGCAGGGGTGACCTGAAGCTTGCCAACCATGGCTGGAGGTCACTCCGCAGGCCTGCGCATCCCTGTGCCATGTCAGTTTATTCCGAGCCTCTCCTAGGGAAGCTCACTCCAGCACGCCACGACTGGAAAAGAGCCTTGTGTGCTTGCGGGGCCACGGGGTGCAAACCGCAACATCTAGAGGTCTCCCAAATCTCCAGCATGGAGAGCGCCACTCCAGAAGCACACCAGCAGCAGAGGGCATCCCTTCCTCGGAGATCTGGGCCAAGCAGCCACAGGGCCTCCGTCGGTCCTGAAGCACGGAGAGATGAAGAATGTGGTCTGTGTCCCCAGAACCACACAGGCCCCAGCTCAGAATTCTGAGCCACGTTGTTTCCCAGTGCAGAAGAGACACCCACTCTCGGACAGAGCCAGTAGCCAGTACTCTCCAAATCAGCAGAGTGCGTATGGAGGTGCACGCGTCTTTCGCAGTTCGGTGGCATGGAAGATGACAAGAACGCTCGCCCTCTCTCCTGTAGCGCAAGAGCGACCTTTTAAAAAATTCCTCACCCGCCCTTATCTGTGTTAAACGCAAGCAACTCGCAGACCCACGGGCTTGCAGTAGAGCCACACTGGCGGAGGTGGGGGGGGGGGAGGGAGGCTCCTTCACCGCTTTGGAAAAAACAGAGACCTGCTAAAGAGACAGATGGACAAACAGCCAGGCAGATGTTACCAGCCGGAGCTCAAACGGTGAGAACGATCAGACAGAGAGGGGACTCCCCATCTGTTCTCTTGCACATAGCAATCCTTTCTCTGTCTCCCCCCCTTTCGTCTTTCCCCTATTCCTGGCACTCCGATCCGTAGACCTGACAGTTCATATTTCTGGGAAGGGGCCACACACAACTCAGCCCCAGTCTGCTGCAGAGTCAAGAATGTTATTAATTATTTGACTGGATCTTGGATTCAAAGAGATATACAGGGGTTACGACATTTTCAATGTACAAAAATATTGCAATGGAGGCTAAAACAAAGAGTAAATGCTTTCTTACAGTAGAGGAGCAACAAAGGATGAAATAAAGTGTTTGCAAATTAGACAAGTTCTCAGATGATACAAAACTAGAAGGATTAGAAAAAACTTGGAAGCTGCGAAACAAATTTTAATTTCAGACAACTGCGAATTGCTTGGGTATATAAGAATTCACAAACCCACAGGAATGGGGTACAGTATGACACCTGTCAGGGGAACTGTAGTGGCAAGGGACAGCATGCTAAACGAGCATCACTCCGGCCCATCTCAACATCAGCTGTTCGTGACCTCTTGGCCCTCTGACCTCTATGACCTGACTCTTGGTGCTCAGGGAACAGAGTCTGGGAGGAGTGGCTGAGAGATGCTAGATGGGCATCAGCAGGCCAGAATGTCATATCAACGGAGCTAATTTTTCCCCACAGCTATTCTGACACCTTCTCCAGTTTGGAACCAGTTAGATCTCACACAGGAGATTTCTCTAACACACACCAACTAAAATATCTGCCGAGATAGAGGACGCTAGACACACAAAATACAGAAGACATCCTCTTCCCTTCTATTCCTTAACTTCACACTTCCGCCATGCTCTTCTTTCTTTTCCTCTCTCCCTTTCCT